ACAAAAATAAATTCTTTCAGTGATAATATCGAGAAATCTGGACCGACTAAGCTTACTGAAAATGTTGCATCTATTGAAGACGCATTCATTTGTCTTATGTCGGAAAAAATCATGCAGAAAATTTTAATTTATTCAAATATGGAATATGATCGAAGCGTCGGATTAGATGAAAAAGAAGAAATAACAATGATGGAATTAAAAGCTTCAATTGGAATATTATTGCTTGCTGGTTTATTAGGAAGATCAAAGGGAAATTTGCGATCCTTATGGAGAACAAGTCCCTGGGAATCTCCAATATTTAAAGCTACTATTTCAAGAGATCGTTTTGACAAAATTATTTCGTGTCTAAGATTTGATGATAAAAGAACAAGAGAAGAGAGAAAACAAGCAGATAAATTTACGGCAATTCGTGAAATTTGGTCAGATTTTCAAGATAAATTAAAAACATGTTATACACCAGGACTTGATCTTACCATCGACGAACAATTATTAAGTTTTCGGGGAAAATGTCCATTTCGTCAATTTATTCCTAAGAAGCCTGACAAATACGGATTAAAGTTCTGGCTATGTGTTGATGCAGAGTCGTATTGTGTATTGAATGCTTTTCCTTACATTGGACGACAACCAGGTCAAGAAAAACAAAAACACATAGGTGAAAGTGTAGTTTTAGAATTGCTCAAGCCATTCTATGGTTCAAACAGAAACGTTACAATGGATAATTTCTTTACAAGTGTTTCATTGGCGAAAAATCTTCAAACGAAGAATCTTACTCTTATAGGAACATTACGAAAAAATAAACCAGAAATACCTATAGAATTTCTATCAAATAAAACTCGTGAAGTTGGTTCTTCGCTTTTTGGTTTTGAAGATAATTTAACTTTAGTTTCCTTTGTACCAAAAAATAATAAAGCCGTCTTATTACTTTCTTCGAAACATCATGATAATCAAGTGGACAATAAGACTGGAAAACCAGTTATTATTTTGGATTATAATAAAACCAAGGGAGCTGTTGATACTGTTGATCAAATGTGCCACAAATATACAGTAAAAAATATTTTTATTTTTTATCTTTTCATTTTGTCATTTATAGGTAAAAAGAGGTACAAAGCGGTGGCCGCTTTGTATTTTCTACGGTATGATAGATATCGCGGCTCTAAATGCATTTATCTTATGGAAGGCGAAAAATCCAGAATGGAATCGAAATAAGAGATATCAACGACGACTATTTTTAGAAGAACTCGGACTTAGTCTAGTAACACCTCTGTTGGATTTTCGTTCAAAAACCTCAAAATTTCTACATAAAGATATTCAAAATGCTTTAGCTATTGTTGGTCATCCTATAACGAGAAGAAATTCACAAGAATCAAATGAAGATTCTGAACAAGGAAAACGAAAACGGTGTTCAATGTGTGAAACATCTAAAGACA